GTCCTTCTGGGCTGCACCCATGGGCCTTGCATGGAGGTGCTGGGCACCTACCAGCTTCTCGTGGGCATGGAACCCTATGAAGGTCCCTACAAGCACCCACGGGACCCCAACGTGCTGCGGCACCCCAAGGAACCCAATGTACTGGGACACCCAAAGGACGCCAATGGGTTGTGACGCCCCCAAGGCCCCCAAGGTGCTGGGGCACCCCAAGGCCCCCAACGGGTCCTGGCACCCAAAGGATCCCAACAGGTTGTGGCACCCCAAGGCCCCCAGCGTGCGGGGGCACCCCGGGGCGCCGCGCGCGCACCGTGAAGATCTCCACGATGTCGTTGGACGTGGTGCGCACGGGGTCCACGTCCTTCTCGCTCAGCACCCGCATGAGGCTCACGCCGTCCGTCTCCAGGATCCACTCCTGCAGCGCCTTGAACTCCCCGTCCTCCGTGATGATGATCTTCTTCTTGTTGTCCGTCTGCGGCAGGTGCATGTACACCTGCGGAGCGGGGCGTCAGCGGCACCCATGGGTGCTGCTTGGGGGTGTCGCGGTGCCCGGGGCGCCTGCGGGATCATTGACCCTCGAGAAGATCTCGTGGACATCTCCATGGGTCCTTCAGATGGGCGGCAAGAGCCTCAAGGGCACCCGTGGGTGTCCTCTGGAACCCACGTGAGCACCCGTGGGTGCCGCCTGGGGTCCCACATGAGCACCCATGGGTGCCCAGGGATCTTGGAGCCCCCAGGAGATCTCGTGGACATCTCCATGGGTCCTTCAGATGGGCGGCAAGAGCCTCAAGGGCACCCGGGGGTGTCCCCTGGCACCCACATGAGCACCCATGGGTGTCCCCTGGCACCCACATGAGCACCCATGGGTGCCGCTTGGGGTCCCACATGAGCACCCATGGGTGCCCAGGGATCTTGGAGCCCCCAGAAGATCCCATGGACATCTCCATGGGTCCTGCAGGTGGGTGGCAAGAGCCTCAAGGGCACCCGTGGGTGTCCTCTGGAACCCACATGAGCACCCATAGGTGCCGCTTGGGGGTGCCCCACAGTGCCCATGGGTGCCCAGGGCACCTGTAGGATCATTGGCCCCCAAGAAGATCTCATGGACATCTCCATGGGTCCTTCAGGCGGGTGCCAAGAGCCTCGAGGGCCCCCATGGGTGCCCCCCGCGCCCAGGAGCACCCCTGGGTGCCCCGCGCACCTTGCTGATCTGCTCGATGCCCTGCAGCGTCATGTCCGTCAGCATGTTGGACTCGATGCAGCGCAGGAAGACGTCGTCGTCCATCTTGTCCACCACCTCCTCCTCCTGGGGACACCGGGGTGACACCC